GTAATTGAATAATCTCGTTTTGTAATATAGTTTCATCAAAGCTATATTCTTAATAAACACCGAAAAGACGCATGTCCGATAAGTCATGTATAAAATGGCGGCGAGGAATAAAAATGACACGCGTTGACATTTGTTGATGTGTGAGTCAGTATTGCAATACATGGAAGAATGAGATGCCACTATCGAGTTGTAGCTGAGTACAAAAAGGATAAAAGATCATGCTTTGATTCATAAATATAACTAGGTTTTATGTTCCGTCTGCTATAGTATTATATGTCTGTGGTTTCAACTAAGAAATTTTTGAACTCTTCCCCCATTGCTGCCGAATCAATCTTAAGAGAAAATGTGAAACCTTGTACTAATTATTTTCAAACATGTTGACTTTAAAGATGTAATAAAAACGTTTCACGAATTAAACAAAAAGAAAACCGCGGATCTGTGGGGCAATTCCGTTGATGTTTCTAAATCGGTAATTGAGAAATGAAATACAGTCAAATAACTCCTTTGCATAAAACGGGAAGTACATCAGACCCCACAAACTTTCGACCAATTTCTGTGCTACCCACCTTTAGTAAAATTTTCGAAAAAATCATGTTAGATCAAATGCAATCACATTTTAATAAATATAATATACTTCACTCTAAACAATTTGGTTTTACACGGGGTCGTTCAACAACCGATGCCGGTGTTGAACTTATACAACAAATTTTTGACGCCTGGGAGAACTCGCAGGACGCTCTAGGTGTGTTTTGCGACTTGTCCAAGGCTTTTGATTGCGTTTTTCATGGAACATTACTCAGGAAACTCCACCACTATGGATTTAGAGATACTGATCTGGATCTTATTGCATCATACCTGAGGGATAGGATTTAGAGGGTTGTCATTAATGGTAATAAGTCTCCGGGTTCGCCGGTTAAGATGGGTGTTCCGCAGGGCTCAATCCTAGGTCCTTTCTTATTTTTAATTTATATTAATGACTTACCTTACTATGTAAGAGATAACCATGAGATAGTATTGTTTGCGGATGATACATCACTTTTATTTAAACTCAAACGCAAGGAAAAAGTTATTGACGACGTGAACAATTGTATCTCTAAGGTAGTCCACTGGTTCAATGTTAACAATTTATTACTTAATGAAGGAAAAACGAAATGTATGAAATTTGTATTACCTAATGTAAAACAGGTAAAAACCAGTGTGAATGTAAAGGATAGGAATGTGGGCCTTGTAGACACCACAGTATTCTTAGGGATAACTTTAGATTCTTGAAAATTGTCAAATAGACTTAGCTCTGCAGCATATTCCGTAATGAAGATACGCCAGTTAACGGATGTAGATACGGCCAGATTAGTGTGCTTTAGTTATTTCCATAGTGTAATGTCGTACGGAATTTTATTGTGGGGAAACGCCGCCGACATTCAAACTATTTTTGTGCTGCAGAAGAGAGCTATTCGATCAATTTATAATCTTAAAGTTAAAGAATCGTTAAGAGATAAGTTTAAAGAATTTGGAATAATGACGGTCGCATCACAATACATATACGAAAATTTATTACTTGTAAGAAAAAATATTAATTTGTTTCTTAAAAACAGTGATGTTCACACAATTAATACAAGAAACAAAAATAAACTAACTTTACCTGCTACTAGGCTTCACAAAATTAATAATTCATTTAAAGGTCTTTGTGTTCGCTTATACAATAAAGTCCGAAGCAATATCCAAGAGTTAGCCATAAATAAATTTAAAGATATTATAAAAAAAACACTTATTAAAAAAGCTTATTACAAAGTGTCTGATTATATTACAGACAAAAATGCTTGGGTTTGAACTGTTCCAATCATTCCAACAGGTTTTCTATATTAAATAAATCATAATTGTATTGACGTTGTAACAACATAATGATTTGTAAATGTTACATTAGACTTTTAATGTTGTGGAGTTTTTTTCGCTCGTTTTTCTCCGCAGCTAAAAAATATGTCCATAACGAGTGGTAGGGAAAAAAAATTTTTGGACGATTCAAAAGAGTTGTACTATACATCCAATTTGAATAAAGATATATTGATTTCTGATTTCTGAAACAATTCCGGCATAAATGATTTTTGTATAACTTCAATCATTTACGCAGCGCACGCCATGGAAGCTCACAAATGGAATATTTTTACACGTTTTTGCAACATTTTACATAGATGATCTGCCTTTTACTGGTCACAGTGTGATGTTTTAGAGCCTTAATCCTTCCTCAATAGATGGACTATTTAACACAAAAAGATTTTTTCAAATCGACCCATCACTTCCTGACATTTGTGCGTTCAATCAAAAAAATTGTGCATTCGGTACAACGGGTCCTAAAGTACGCAACAAAAATCTTGTCTCTTACAATTAAATTAACTTTCATGCAGAAATTCATTGAGCATAATACAAGCCTGAGAACAAAAACTATAGTCTACCTTCACTACAGCTCTACACCGAAACGAAGCGAGGGCGGGTCACTAGTTTTTAATATAGGGGCGCCGATGAGATGCTTGCCTACGGCGCTCTCAACGTTTAATCCGCCACTGTTGATAAGACATCAATATGAGGATCCCATTGCAGACGAGAGTCTAATGTAATACGACAGTGATACGACGAGATGTCTGTGAAGTGTGAGAGCCAGGGATCAGTGTCATTGGACCGGATACCTACCATTATCATTAGTCAATGACCTCTTGAAGGATTTAATTTTTCTCCATGCTAAAGATGACGGTGTTTGTGGTGAGAGCAGTGCCGTCTTTGACCTATTGGAGGCCCTGGGCATATTAGGATAATGGGGCCCCTATGACTTCGGTTTTGTGATTTAACAGGAACTAGTGACTTTGTATTTGACCTGAGGGGTGCAGGGGGCCCCATATTGATCGCGAGGCCCTGGGCATTTGCCCAAAGAGCCGACTGGGGAAGACGGGTCTGGGTGAGAGAGTGATTCACAAAAGTCTCTCCAGCTTGGGATTTCTCTTTTGACAGGAGTCTACGGGTCTTAGCTGCTGCTTTTTATAATACTGGAGGTAGTTATCTAGAGTCAGGTTATTTGCATAAATATTCTCAACAGCTTTTTTTTCGCGGATGCTTTGGGTGCAATCTGAGTCCCACCATGGAGGGGAGGAAAGCTTCCTCATGGCAGAGTTCTTTAAAGGGATCGCACTTCTTGCTGCAGTATGGATCGCCTCTATGAGTTTATCATATTGTGCCACAATGATGTCAATATAGACTGGCTCGAGAGATCTGAGTACTACTGTCAAGTAAGGAAGAGTAAGTATTCCAGTCCCTACACAAAAGGGACAACACAATTTAGGAAGCACAATTGAGCGTTTAAAACGAAACCAAATTCAGAACAGGTGCATTATCCAATACACCGACGAGCAAAAGCGCTTGAATAATGTTTTGTAAAGTGATTATATTGATAACATTATTCTGCCTAAACTGCTCAATAATACATTAAGCTTAAAACCGCTTGTTAAGTACTTAAATAATACAAATATAACGCTATAAAATAAATCATCACAGAACAATGGGAAAAACTTAGAATGTAAAATAGGAAGAAAGGAAAACTTTACCGGTCTGGCAGAAAAGGACTAGAACTCAGTGCCGTAAAACCGAAATAGAAAAAAAATGCCAATGACACAAGAGCCCCCCCCCCCCCCCCCCCCCCCCGCCCCTAGAATGACTAACAAAACGCGATAAGATAAAGCAATTTATCGACACTCAACTGTCAAACTCCATTGTAGTTTGACAGTTAATGTCGATAAATCGCTTTATCATATCGCGTTTTCTTACTCATGCTAGGGGGACTGAGCTTACATTCCGTATTCTATACTGATGTCAATTCTGGCATGTTTCTCGAAACTTAAAACTAAATTTAACATCAGTCTCTATTTTTCATTCTGTGTAGAGAAGGACGAGGATACATGTTGTCAAATTTAAGTTTAGGTTTAGAGAATCATGCCAGAATCGACACCATTACCTACTTAAGAGAAGGCTGTATGGCCTGAATATGTATTGTCTTCCCGTACAGGGGAATATTAAAAAAAAATGTTGCTGCGTTTTATTTTGTAGTGTTGCCAGAGCATACCGCTTTCCCACTTTTTTCTTCTGCCTTTTTGACAATAGTTTCACGTTCCTCTATTTTCGGACCTACTAGATCAACCTCTATTTTCTTCTACCATGCAATCCTTATTAGATTTCCATTAATCAAATAAAAAAAGCATGTGTAAATCGTAGTAGGTAGGGATGTCGAAAGTTGAAAAAAATATCGATATATCGATATTTTAAAAAGTATCAATATCGGCTTCGATATATCGCGAAAAAACATCGATATATCGATATATCGTACCAATTTTCCCAAAAATATAATTAGGTCAGCCTAGCACAGTAATAATAGTTATATACAAATTATAATTAAAGAAAGAATTATCAAAGTACTAAATTGCCGCTACACTACATGACAGTACAGTATCTCACGAAATATGACACGCGGAATAATAATGGAACGAAAATTATCTGACAAAAAATAGACCCTATTTTCGAATGATGAAAATGATTGCAGGGCCTTTCAGGTGCCATCTTTCGTAAACAAGACTAGACAGTCACACACTTCCACAGAATATAATGGAAATCAGCACAACCAATTGACCAGCGAAACAGATTTACAAATAATAGACAATACCTAATACAACATAGATCATAGATATGTTGAATATCATTAATCTGAGATCCAGTTACGATTTTTCCAGATACGAATTTAGTTAGATCGTGATATGCCGCTAATAATTAAAAAAATATCGTTTTTGATACGAATTTCGATATTGGTTATTTTGTATCGATGTATCGATATATCGAATCAAAATATATCGATATATCGAACAAAAAATTTCGATATATCGACACATCGATATATTTTCAACAAGCCTAGTAGTAGGTACCGCTTTTTTGTGTGATAATCTGCGTTTTTGTAGCTTCCCTACGTATTTTTGATTTACTCATCTGACAACACTGTTTCGATGTTTGTTTGTATATTATTGTATTTGTAAAAGATTTAAATCCTATTTGTAGTAAATAAAACATAAAATATAAATCAAAGCTATCTAGCTTCGTGTGATCTCTTTGACTGCTAAATTGAATTTCATTTGATTTAATCCTGAAAATCTAAAAGGTAATAAAATAACTCCTGGAGTAAAACAACATTGGATTAGGTTAGCTTTGTAACTTGCTTTATACTATCAAACATCCTTTGAGTTTAACAATAATTGTAAATAAGTACTTAAATTATAATTGAAAATTCAATGTCAATTAGTAACCATGGATGAAGCAATTCAGCGGCCCACGGAAAGCTACCAGTCGATGCCACCTACCCACCCATCTCTGAGTGGTCCAGGAAATGCCAGTGGAAAGCACGAAGAATTCTCCGTAGAAAAAATTCTTGACCGTAGAGTGAAAAATGGAAAAGTAGAATATCTATTGAAGTGGAAAGGCTATTCTAAGTAAGTTGCTTTGTAATAAGTCCTCTGTATATAATATATGTATGTCAATCCTATACATAATATCCTCATTACTCCAATCAGTAAATCTCTATGTTAGTAGTAGTATTCGGAGTTTAATCTTACAAGATTGTTACAAGTCATTTGTAATTAATTGTTTTGGAACTTTTCCCTCCATTTGCCAAATGTTATCAGCATTCTGTAAGATAATGTTTTGTAACGACCTTGCAGTGATGACAATACTTGGGAACCAGAGGACAATCTCGATTGTCCTGAATTGATTTCTGCCTATGAGGATGCTCGGCAGAAGAAAGAAAGAGAGGCAGCGGCAGCTGCGGCTGCTCAGACTGAAGCTCTGGATGAAAATCTGACTTCTAGGAAAAGAGGAAGAAGGAAAAAGAGGGTTGAAGTAAGTATATAAACTATTTACTCTCATTAATTTTAAAAATTTACTATTCTTTTGAGCTTAGTTATATGCTGTATTAACAAGAAAAGAAAAAATATAAGAATATACTTTGTAAAAATATATAATAATAAATAAATAAATATTTAAATAAATAAATATTTCTGACACACACCAATTAGCCTAGCCCCAAAGTAAGCACTATAAGGCTTGTGTTATGGGATGCTAGGGTAACGGATAGAATACATATACTGTACATATATAAGTATATTTATATAAATACATATTAAACATCCATGACTGGAGTACAAATGCTCGTATTCATCACACAAACATCTGCCCCCACCGGGATTCGAACCCGGGACCTCTCGAGTCAGCGACAGCCATGAAACCCGGCGTACAAACCACTCGGCCACGGAGGTCGTCAATATCGTCGTATATATCTTTGTCGTATATATATTTTGAAAATGTTAAAAATGGCATGAAAACTCTTTTTTCTTAGATGATCATAGTTTTCAATAATAGTGGAAGAATTAGAATGGAAAAACACTTCTGTCGATATTTATACTTATGAATATGTATAGGCTCCTAGAAATAGAAAGATAGAGCAGACTGTAACTGGCTCAATAGAAAACCTTAAACCAGCTATCAAGTATACTGTACAATGCTCAAAAAATAGATACTGGTCAGACATTGCCTAGCCTGTCAAATCTGCTCTTCCGATACAGTTACATACTCTATTAATGAATTTAATATTTATTTAAATGTTTTGATTCCCTTTTATTTTTAGGAAATTGAAAAACCCCGTGGTGTGGACAGAGGGCTTCAACCGGAGAAGATTCTTGCCGCTCAGCTTTATAACAGTACATTATACTTTTTGATAAAATGGTATGTTACAAGCAGTGAATTATAGTAAATTTGTGTGTTGATGAGCTAAGGGCATTGCCAATGGGGGGTCAGCTGCGTATAGTAACCAATGTCCTTAATCCACTCATTTAACTTGCTTGCCTGACCAAAAACTGATGCTCTTGATGACTCTTTCTTCACTCATTAATCCTTCTCTTTTAACCTTGTATCCATCTACACTCCACTTTCTTTTTCTTTTAATAATTTCATTTGTTCCCATAGCAGTATCCTTAGCAGCCTTAGGCTGAGTGTGCTCTACTCATTAAATAAAAGTACCGAAACACACAACAAGCAAATTAAAAAACAGTTTTTTTTTTTGTGATTTTGTGATACTGATGCAAACAAAACTTTTAAAATTATTAACATCGCCAGATTTTTTTTTTGGGACATTATCATAGTTTACCTTGGAACTAGCCCATTTTATAATTGAAATATTAAGAATCTGTGGACTACAATGTTATTTATGATGTGGAATAAGACTATGGTACTTAAAAGCTTTTCTGGAACTTTGATTTGTAAGAATGAATTTTTGGAATGTCTACATTTTCAGGCATGGATGCACAGATTGGGATGTTGTGCCGGGTCGTGATATGAACCAGCATTTCCCTGAATTTGTGATCCAATATTATGAGAGCTGCGTGCCGTTTAGTGTCCGACATAAGATGGGGAGAATACCAAGAGAAGCACCAGAAGTATGTTGCTTTTAATTATTACTTATTTTGTACAATACAAGCTTCCACTTGAAACTTCGTTTCAGTATGCAAACTTTAGTTACACACAATTTTCATAAAATTTTGCCTGTAACCAACGTAACCAACAACATTTCAAAGAACTTCAAACAATAAAAAGTTATGTAATCAATATAGACTCATGAGAGATTGCATGACTAAGAAAAAAAATTACAGTATAGAGAAAAGTTTTTTATTTTTGTATGTCAGCAATGAATACACTAAAAACTCTTGATTAAAGCGATTCTTTCATCATTATAATGCTACAGTATCCCTGTTTATAGGCTATGCTATGTAGTTATTTTAAGGAGGTTAAATAAAGTTCACCAGTGGAAACTTGGGGCAGATTTTTATATGTAGACTAGCTGACTCGGCGAACTTTGTACCGCCCAAAAGTAATAATTTGCAATAAATTAAAATTGCGACTATAATTTGAGATTTAAACTATCCTATCTCTCAAGTTGGATCGAACTGCACATGGTGTGCGAATTTTATTATAATCGGTTCAGTGGTTTAGGAGTCCATTGAGGACAAACATTGTGACACGAGATTTATATATATTAAGATATATAACGAAATCCCAGTTTAGTGTGATTGGATTTGACATTACTCTGAGGTCCCGGGTTCCAAACCTGGTAAGAGCAAATCTGATAAATATAAGCAATGCAAGTCACAGATAAAAAAAAAATATAGTTATCTCTGTATACGCAGCGGCAAACTTCTTGAGTAAAACCACTTACTTGCGCAGTAGACGTTTTTGTATGTTTTATTGGTACTACACAGGCTTCCTTTTCTATGGTTGGTGTTCAAGAAGTTTACCAGGATGTATATCTTATAACACAAGCCTGAACATAGTTACCTGAAAGAAACATATTTATTTATTTCATAAGACATATTGTTTTATTACATTATTTTGAAAATACCTCATTTTAATTTTAGCTTCCGCCAGAAGAAGTACCCCCTATTCCTATGGACACATCGGAACCCACCGAGTCTACAGCGGAAGTGCCAACTGCAGAACAACCTACAGGTAATATTATATCTATAGAATTTATTTGAAAAATAAATCAGTAAAGTGAAATTCAGAGACCTAGAACAGGAAGGACTATAATTTACTAACATATTTTTTTAATATTTTTAAATGTGATTATTCATGTAATAAAACTGAATAATTCCTTTTATTCCCATCAGTTCCGTGTAGCTAGTTCCACATGGTACTATTGAAACCTTAAAAATTAATATTTTGTACCATTTTAGTACCATGTCATCTTATACTAAGTTTTATGGCTGACATTTCTTTCATATGGAGCTACTACAACTATTACCTAATGCCGGGTTTCAAGATATCGCCTACTCAGAGGTCCCGGATTTGAATCCCAGTGGGGCAAATATAAGTATGATGAATACGAGCATTTGAACCTAAGTCATGGATGTTTGTTTCTATTGCTATTTAAATATATTTATATATGGGTCAGTATAATGTATTCTATCTGTTACCCTAGTATTCCATAATACAAGCCTTACAGTGCTTACTTTGAGGCTAGGATAATTGGTGTGAGTGAAAATAATAATAATATTAATTCAATAACTCTCGGGGACATTCGACGCGCTGTTTCGTCCTCCACTCGTAGGTCCCTTCAATTCACGACCACGAAATCACCCGCGCCAACGCGCCTCCGACTCCTCCCACACAGGCCACAAACACCAATACTATAGAGCTAGCGAACTTGCACACTAGCTTAGCATTAGGCAGACACCGCATAGAAGCCGTGAAGTCCCTCCACGGGGATTTCGCAGTTCCGCACTTAACAGCGTAGACCCTCTACGGCAGGGTTTTTTAGCGGATAGTGTGCCGCAAGCGCTCGTAAGCAGCGCGGACTGCTTAACGGCTTTTCCGTTTCGCACCCGTGAGATTTGCGAGAGACTAGGTGCGAGGTCCGTTCGTTGGTGTGCCCCTTAAGGGCGCTAACGACTGTAAATAGAGGTTTTATCTGCGTAATAAAAAAGAGGCAGAAACCGCACCCGTAGGATAAGAGTGCGAAGACCCGTTGTACACGCGACACGCTAAACCAGGTACAAATACGTACCTGGGCGTTTTTTCCCATCCCCCACGACAACAGCTAAGCCGAGGTCCGTGTCTCAGAGAATTTAGTTGAGCCGACTTCCTCAGGTTCGAGCGATCTTGAGGCTCCAGACGGAGATGGGACCCCCGTGGGGAGATGCCATCCGCCTGGAATACCTCTATAGAGACTCGCCAATTCTCGGCTCGAGGTCCCAATATGACCTCGCAGTCCCCCAAACCCGCACACGCTGTAAAGGTCATCTGCGACCAACAGCATACACACTCAAAAAAATCGTCGCACTTTTGCTTTGGAAACGGTTTGTGAGCATTTTCGGCAACTATCTTGCACTGACATTTGACTCTCGCTCGCTTCGATTGTCCTTTATGAGCGCTGGTAATCTTCGTTTCTCTGCCCTACTTGAATAAGCTATACCATTCGTAAATTTATGATTTTCCAGGACAAGAGTCCATGTTAACAGATGACATATATGGTATTGATAGGTGTTTTGAGACAAGTAGAACTAGGAGAAAAAAAAAATCCCCCATCCAACTCAATCCCCTCCATTCCGCTTACTTTTCACCTTCTCTTGTATGATTTCAAAATATTTGTATGATTTCAAAATATGAATAACACAATATATATAATTAGTTAGTGGCAGGTGTATATACTCTCAGACACATTTATCGTCCCACCTAGCGTATTTAGTTTTGGTCTATATTGCTTTGATGGACGCTAAAAATAAATTTTTCATTGAGCAAAAAGCTTTAATGCAGTTTTGAAGCTGTTTCTTAACTTTTCGTGTGTTTTAAAAGAAATATAATTACTCAACCTATATCAATAACATTTTTGCTACAGACCGTTGAAAGTTATAACACTATGTGGGTCGATAGATATGTCTATATATTGCATGTCAGGTGTATATTTTATAATTTTCCTTAATGTGGAACTACTGGTAATAAATACTATGTATAGGTTTGGTAATACTCCCACTAGTTCCATACATGGAAATATTGAGTAACGATAGTTCCACGTGGAACTACTGGGAATAATGGAAATATTCACCTATATCAGGGCTCCAAGTTATATGTAAGATAATACTGAAAAAAAAAATGGATGCGTATAACTTATGTACGCGCGTGAGAAGTTATACTTCTTTGGCATCATTAAAAATATTTTTTAATTGCATGCAAATGATTAATAATTACAATAAAATAATAAAAGGACTGGAAAAGGATAGTTAACACAGTCAATTAAGTTCAGTTTTAATTTGAAAAATTAAATAAATATTCAAAATATTCAATTAAAATCACTACTGAATTTAAGTTATTAGTCCATATGTAATTAGCACTTGTAAGTAACTAAAACACGTTGTGTCTATATAGAAACTAGAAACATGTGGATAAATATTATAAATATGAAAACAGTGATCAGGGGGCCAATCGCCTAACGGAAATGCTTTGGAAAACGCTAACGCTTACGATTTTATTTTGTTATTTCTAGCCGCCTGAGGTATTCAAATGCCTCACGCTCTTTCTTTTTCTTTTGCATTGGTAATAACAATATTAAAAAAAATGAGCGTGAGGTATTCGAAAACCTCAGGCGACTAGAAATAACAATATAAAATCGTAAGCGTTAGCGTTTCCCTAAGCATTTCCGTTAGGCGATTGGCCCCCAGAGGCGACGAGCGTGCCAACATTGTTTTTGACAACGCGATCATCTTATGGAGCTCCGTGGATCGTTCAAAGTACCTTTCGAACAGATGTCTAATAATGGTGGATTATTAACCACTAAGTGGTTAATAATCCACCATTATTAGACACTAACATTCATAACGCGCCCGCGGCCAACTTCATGGTGTTACTATTGTGTTACAGTGATGCGCGCGCATCTAAAAATTTCACTCTCATCATTTTTTCATAACGCGCCTAAAAAAGTATAACTTCAAAAATAAGCTGTACAGTTTTATATCCTACAAACCCCAGATTATTTTCGAAGGCTTAGTTCTGAAAACTGAAGGAAATCCATTATGATGTACTAAATTCTAATTTGTAATATATAGATCATTAGTTCTCTTGTATATATTTATAGATCTCGTTCTAACTAATGTTTATGGAGTCCATAAAAAGTGGATATTTTGAATTCTGTTGTGTAATTCTGTAAAAGAACTAACTTAAAATTTTAATTTTCCGGCATTTTCGGCCACAAGACCATTGAGCAACAAAAAATCGTTACTATTTAATGAATTTATAGAAAAGTTAATAATTATTTATTCTTTCTGAATAGTCGAAATGCTAATAATATTCATATTAAATATAGATGACGACAATTGGTAGATTATTTTTCATACTGTGAAATAGCCTATTAGCCTATTGCATATACCTACGAGCTCGAACAGAAAGCTTATGTATTGAAGTTATACTTCTTTAGGCGCGTTATGAAAAAATGATGCAAGTGAAATTTTAGGATGCGCGCGCATCACTGTAACACAAAAGTAACACCATGAAGTTGGCCGCTAAACCGCACATTAAGTTTCAAAAAAAAGGACATAGAATCTGTATTAGTCGCGCATGTTGGCTGTATTAGTCGTCGCCTCTGATCACTGTTTTCATATTTAACATATTTATGCACATGTTTCTAGTTTCTATATTCACAACACGTTTTAGTTTCATACAAGTGCGAATTATACCAGGCCACTCAGAAAGTTTTGCGAAAAAAAGTGTTTTTGTATAAATACACTGGCCACTTGTAATTATTTTATTTATTTATTTTTATTTTCATTTGGGAAACATACAGTTTTACACAATTCAATTAAGTATCACATTACTTTTTCATAAACCAGTTAAGTTTCCACAGACTGAATTTTGAAAACTTCATTATTTAAAAGTAAAAATACCACTGTTCGATTTTCAAATTTCCCTCAGCATTTTTTCGAGAGCCTATTATAAATTCTTATCTCATTAAAAACGGATTACATGTACTGATGATGATAATGATTATATAACATTTTTCACGATTTTAAAAGTGGCTTAAAACCTGATGAGTCACGTGATCGATTTCGAACTGCTTTTATGGATGAAGGACCTTCAAAAGTAACCATCTGCCGTTGGTGTAACGAGTTCAAACGCAATCGTCTTACTTTGGGAGACGAACAAAGGAGTGGTCGTGCTACAACGGATATTACCGAAGAAAGTGTGCTGGCAGTAAAAAAAATAATTCAAGAAAACAGACGAATTAAGTACGAAGAGATTCAGCATACTCTGCAGATTGGTTCAGGAAGTGTTCTCAAGATTTTGCACGAGCACCTTTGCGTAAGGAGGATAGTTTCCCGCTGGGTGCCGCACAAACTCACCGAAGCTCCGAAGCAGGCCCGTGTGAATTGGTTCAGTGATATGATACAAAAATTTGATGCAGGCTCGTCACGGCGCGTTTTTCGATATTGTGACAGGGTGACGAATCCTGGATTTTATAGTACGATCCAGAAACAAACCGTCAGTCGACAGTTTGGCTGTTTCAAAATGATCCAACGCCTACGAAATTGAAGCGATCGAGGAGCGCAGGGAAAAAAAAACGCTAGTTTCTTTGACGGGGTACCTGATTTCAATTTCACTTCGAGATCAAAGCAGTATCACGCTGAATGGTATAGCACAAAATGCCTGCAAGAAGTTTTTTTTTGCAATGAACAACAAGGGACCTAACACCGGGCTCCGCGGGGCCCTTCTTCACCACGACAACGCGCCCGCGCACTGTACGATCAAAACGAAGGACTTCCCGGACTCCACACTAGTTAGATTCTTGTTGTGACACCCTCCTTACAGTCCTGATTTGGCTCCTTGTGACTTCTTTTTATTCCCTAAAATAAAAAAATCAGTTCAATGGGATACAGTTTGCATCACCGGAAGAAGCGCTAGCTAGAGGACTGGAAAAAATGTTTTAAAAATTGGTTCAGACGCATGAAACTTTATAAAGAGGCTGGTGGAGAGTTCTTTGAAAAGATTTAATAAAAATATTTTTTTTCATAGATAGTTTTTTAGTTCCTCAAAACTTTCTGAGTATCCCACGTATATGTGCTAATAAATTATATTCAGTAGTGATTTAAATTGAATATTTTGATTAATATTATTTACAATTCGTAAATATTAGTGAACAAAATGTGCTTATATACTTTTTATAGTGCTCCAATTTAATTGACGTTAACTATCCGTATGTATTATTTATTGATATTAATTAAAATATTATTAATTCTCAATTTTTAAGATTTAGATATTATTAATTTATATAATGTAATTCTCTACAATACATTTTATTCATCAATCTAAGATTATTTTAGTTTAGATTTGATGACTATTAATGGTACTATTCAATTTCTATTCCAGTTTTCAAGAAGGCTAAAACAAATGCGGAAAACTGTAAAAACTATTACAATCGAAAGAAAGCGGCCAAGGAAGCTGAAAAAATTCGGCAAGGCTTGTCAGTAACAAAAAAACCAATAAAAAGAAAAACAGGAGCTGAACGTACTCGGGCTTGTAGGCTGCGAAAAAAAATGCTTTCACAAGTAAACGAATCGTCCGTGACTGAGACTTTATCTATCCCGTCAACTTCAAATTCACTAATAAGTACTTTTGAACCATCATCATTTCAGTTAGCTACCACCAGTGCTAGTACAAATCGACCAGATGTCTCAACGGTGTCCAGTGCTGGTATTGCTGATCATGATCGTGAAAATGTACACGATTGATTTTTATCTACTTCAACACACGACAATCGCAAACTCCTTAATTGTACAAGCTGAGGTGCATATGGCTAATTCTCCTGTGCTGTATAATCACAGTACATCAGAAAACACTTTATTAACAGACATGGAGCAAAGCCGACTGCTTCAAGCTAAAGAAACTATTAAGCAATTAGCTGATGCCCAGAATTTACATATTTTATACACTCGACACATTGTACACGATCAGGAGCGTGATTTATTAAATCCAAGACGCGATTATGGATCAGGAATTACCTCCACCAAACGGACAAGCTATTCATTCTAATTCTCCGGAGCTTGTACGATATTAAAGTTGATGAGTCATTCTTCAATGATAATCAAATTTAAGATGAAATTCAGCAAGACGATTTCTGCGAAGAAAGTTTTACGGCTCAACAGCAGACATTATAGTGGAATCAAGAACAATACTTACGTATTGCACCTGGTGAAGACAATGTACCTGAAAGTTTATTATTTGATGAACATGCAGAGGAATTTTCCTTTCCCGCAATTTACTTGGGTCAGTTCCGTAATTTTAGGAATGTGTTTAGGTGTTAAAGCAACCCCTTTCTATGACTTGATGGCTTCTAGTGAGCTAAGACGATCTGATCGTTGTGCAGTTACACCATTATTTATTATATATGGCGATAAAGATTATGATTACGTTCAAATACGTTGACGACCTCCGTGGTCGAGTGGTGTACGCTTGGTTTCATGGTGTTGCCGACTCGAGAGGTCCCGGGTTCGAATCCCGGTGGGGGCAGATGTTTGTGTGATGAATACGAGCAGTTGTACTTCAGTCATGGATGTTTCATATGTATTTCTAAATAAAAATATACTTATATATGTACAGTATATGTATTGTATCCGTTACCCTAGTATCCCATAACACAAGCCTTACAGTGCTTACTTTGGGGCTAGGCTAATTGGTGTGAGTGTTGGAAATATTTATTTATTATTTATTTATTTAAATACCTTGGTAAAGATACCAAAATTACTCGGACACAAATAGAAGATGATCAGTACGTTCATAATCGTATTGAAATCAATCTTGCGTTTCTAAGAGCAATTCCAAATTCAACGTGGTATTGGATGGATCACAAGAAAGATCTCTTTGCTATGATCAGACAGTTTGGAAAACCGACTATATTTCTTACTGTCAGTGCCAATGAAATTGGATGGAATGATCTGCTCTAAAAGATCTACAAATTCAAACAACGGTGAAACTATTTCAGAAGAAATGGCCCAGCTTCTCCATTACTTTGAAAAAGCAGCTCTTGTCAATGAGGATGCAGTTACTTGTGCTATATATTTTAACAAATTGGTCAATGTATTAATGAATCTTTTACAATCACCAAAATTCAGTCCACATATATACTATTGTTGCTAGCTAATGCACTTGATAAAAACAGGTTGGATTCTATCGCAGTAATTGATTACTTGATATCTGTTTCATCTCAAGAAGCATCAAGTAACATTAAATTACAAAGACAGTAACATACATTCACATGCTATAAGAAAATAGTGGCGAATCAACCTCAGCATTGCAGATTTGAAGCACTTTTTATGCCTTACCGATCTTCTACAATTTTATTACCTATGCATAAACAAGAGTCTGGTTTCAAGAATTATGCTAAATGTTACAAAGATATCCGGATTAATTTGGCAAATAATGATTAGCATGATATTGATTTGACGAGACGAGCTGAAATTAATAGGCCACGAGTTTTTGTCAGGCGTCAACCATGTGAAAAATGGCATAATCCGTTTAACCCCTTTATATTTAACATTGTTAAATCGAACAACATTGTTAATGCGACATAGTTGATCGCTGAAGATAAAGAATATTCATGTGCTAGTTATGTCGCAGAGTATGTCAATAAAGTTAACAAAGCCATTAGTCATCTTCAGCGATTGATTATTGAAACTATGAATGAACATCCAGAGTTTGATGTCGTTGAAATTACAAGGAAAATAGGTGTAAATATGCTCAATAGTGTTGAGATAACAAGTCAAGAGGCGGCTTTGTATCTGTTGCGAGAACCAATGTCAAAGTGCTTTCTACTGTGGTCGTCAACGTATAAGAAAAAGACAAAAAGAATTAGACGTGATAGGCGTAGGAGAAGATTCAACTAATATTTGGAAAGAAAACTGGTTTGGCAAATATGAACGCCGACACGAAGATTTTGAAAATATTAAAATAACCGAAAAGAATTTGACTCTTATTTGGATATACAGAAAGTAACTGAACTTTCTCGAAATTTATATTAATAATAATGTTTATTTTATTCTCACAACAATACAAATATTTTGTTAGACATGAAATATTGTTTGTATTAACAACGGATATATTTACAGTAATATATTGTGGAGAAACTGGTGTCTAAACTGGCCGAGAAGATGGTTTCAATTATGAAACTGAAGTACAAGATGTTGTTAACATCGCATCTGTACCAAATCCATTTCAAATTTTATATAAGTAACAATCCTCTTTCCGATGTGAATAGTGATCTTCGTACTGTACTTAATAAACTTGGACCTATCAATAAAAAACGAGAAAATTTAATGCCAAATATAGAGTTTTACGAATTAATGAGGGGGCAAATGATAAGCAAAGAGAGCTATTGCTACATGTCATTTCAAATCTATCTCTAACTCCAAACCGTAGTCCATTTTAAATATTTTTTACGGGTCCAGCTGGATGTTTATTTCGTCATAAAACTTATCATGGAAATTTATTAACAATACAATGAGAATGATGTGCTTCAGCAGGCAAATCTGCTGTTGCCATTGACGGAACTACCGTACATACTGCCCTAAAAAAAAGAGATTACTTCCACTAAGCGTAAAATACGTCAAAGTGTTAATCATTGATAAAATAAATATGATTAGTGCTGAATTACTTCTTCAAATTGACTCTAGATTGAAGCAGATTACTGGAGATTTCGAAACTAATTTTGGTGGTTTAGATGTTACTTCGATTGGAGATCTACGCCATTTGCCACCAGTACGAGCTACTCGGATTTACAATCAGCAGAAGCAGAAAATTGTTGGACCGATTTTATGGCGTGGATTAAAATTTTATGAATTAGATCAAGTTATGCGCTAGGCAAACTAAGAGTTTTCTTCAATATTGACAAAAATTGGGACTGGTCAACAACTCGACGATAGCAAATTAATTTTATTGGAATTGCGATTTTTAACAACTCAAAAGGCCGAAGTAAATGTCCATGTGTGAATCAGATTATTCAATACAAACGAGGCTGTCTATGGCAGTGGACATAATTTAAAAATAACATTCAAATAATGACAGAATTTATGTTACACTTAATGTAAGAAAATAAATATTTATTTATTTAAATTTACATATTAAAACTGAACTTTATTGACTGTGTCGACTATACCTATCCAGTCCTTTTATTATTTTATTGTAATTAATTATTTTCATGCAATTAAAAACTAATTTTTAATGATGCCAAAGAAGTATAACTTCTCACGAGCGTACACGCACCTATTTTTGGAAAATATGTTTGTATGCTTTGAGAACATCAATAAAAGGTTACAGCTTGTATTTTTATTTAACTTGCACTGTTCAGTTCGTATCTTACTATGTAGGTATGTATATAATAGTCCCAACTGTAACACTGGAATGGAAATCAAAATTTCACTACCATTGTACTGATGTTACATTTTGGTGTGACGGTCGGGAATTCATGACATTAACACCAGTGTTACGTTAGGGAATTTTGAAGTGAAACTTCTTTACGCACGCTTGATTAAGAGGATAAGCTGGCGAATGAGTTACGCGTTACGAAAAGTGTGTTCGGGCGAGGCGAACGGGAGTTGAGTAGGGGATATAAGCAAGAGAAAGCAGTGCGCGCGCACATTTTCTTTCTCTCTTTCTCTTAAAGCTAGTAAATGAAATATGTATATGTACATACATGTATATATTGTCCACACATATAAACAAATGGAGCTAAAGAAGTTTCGCTTTGGTCGTGTGGTCATAAGCACACTCGTTTTTTTATTACATGCTATAAGCAAACAAACCTTTTTTTTTTTTTTTTTTTTTTTTTTTTTTTTTTTTTTTTTTTTTTTTTTTTTTTTTTTTTTTTTTTTGTCTGGGAAATGCTTTACGCATCCTTCAACCACCGGGGGAGCGAGAAGAAGGTATGTGGGACTCCTCCCTGCTCATTTCAGCCAGTCCTCAGGCCGGGTGAAATGAGCAGGGCCCTACCTAACGCCCTGAACAGGGCCACTAAAAACCAGACAATACTCCTGCACCGGTCACCCGGCGTACATTCTGAGGACCGCAGTCCCCCCAATGCACGCCGGGAGTGTGGGCGTGGTCGCGGCAACCGTTGCCGACTGTCCGCGCACCCGCAAGGTGATTGTCCGCGAACGGACCCACCCCGATGAAGGTGCCCCGGAGTATCAGGGGCACCAGCATCAAGAGAGCTTGTGCAATGCAGGCCGGTCCCCCCCCAGGGCAGACCCGCGGCTCTCACAGGAGTGGGAGGGAGAGCGTAGTTCTCTCCGTCCCTCTCCCGCCCCCCTTGGCCCTAAGAAGGGCCTTTTGAGCATCTACCGCCAATCGCAATGATCAGAATCACTGTGGGGTGATGCTCCTACCCTGGTCCTGAAAAGGACCGTTGATCGGTGTTCAGCACTCGACGTGCTGACCATCCTAGGGATAAGCAAACAAACCTATATTTTCACCATTAAGCACGATTGACTTATAAAATTGTACCAACCCGCAAAAACACTCAACTATTTTAAAGAGCTGCCATACATTTTTTTGTTAGAACCTTCTACTTTCCATTCCATTTTACGCATTCCTAACCCATTATACATGAGTTTTAGTGTTTTTTTTTTAATATATTTTGATCTGTTAGGAAAGCCTTATCTGCGTTCGTTTCTTAGATAAAATATCAACGCAACAAAACTCTAATAGTACAGGCCGACTAGACTTACGGAGCTAGATTTTTGAAACTGGTCGAAACAGAACAAGTAGGAATTCGATGTCCTATTTGTTCTATTGGTAGAACATGCAGGAACTTTTGTCACAATGTTCTATTATGAGAACAACCAGTAAACAGGTGGGAAAGACCTTTCATAAACTGTTATTTTCACAGAACCACCGGTTGTCGAGATGAGTCAAGATGCAGATACTACGAGCCAACAAATAGAAGTACCTGTGAACTAATGATTGACTTTTTACAATATTAAAGCCGAACTTTGAAACGTTAATGAATTTGCAAGTTTGATAAAAGTTAATGCTGTCGCTTTTAGATAAGTAGCGATAGAACAGAACTTAACGTCACTTTGAAAAGCATTAAACTTAATTGACACCTTTCAGTGCGGTTTTTAATCTTAATTAGGTATGTGATAGGTGTAAATTTTGTATTGGATCTAATGTTTTATAACTTAATTAAGGTATATAAATAAATGCAACTTGACATCATTTGTTGATACTTTTATTTGCATTAAACTTACATATAACCCTGTATAATTAAAAAAGTACAAAAGCCTATAATTAATAGTACATTGAATCTTAAAACTAAGAGTATCATAAGCTTTGGCATCGCGTTGGCGTCGTTGGAGTTAAAACTAACTTTATTATTACACATATAAGTGCGAAAATTAAGAATCTATATATGTGACATATATAGTTTACATTATAGTATTGTTACAGCTTAGATCAATATAAAGTTTTGTATACATTACTAGTATAGTAATATATAATTGATTTAGCCGGACCAGAAAAATATAAAAATAACTTGCCCTATTGCTGAATGCAAAGGGATTAATTTTCAATACAAATTTACTATGAAATGCACTAAAAAACTAGATAAAGGCTTTTATTTTTCGGATCCAACTATATTATTTTTTTGTGGTTTATGGCACTGTTATCTATATCTATATATGTGATTTGGTAATTGTGAATTTTGTCGGGGTTTTAATTATGGGTGAAATTAAATGAAAAAGCGACGGAATAAAATAAACCTCCGATTTCGTCTTATCTATGCTTAGTATTTTTTTTAGTATGACTTTTTGTACCCGAAAACTTAAGAATATTTCCAGAAAAATATATATGGTATAAAGACGAATTTTTAACTGTCTCAAGACAGCAGAAAGTCAGATTTGAGACAACTCTCTATAACTCTTTCTTAATGTGAACAGCTGAAACACCTAGCAAACTATGAGGTTAACGTATAATTCGGTGGACAATTTTAACCAAAGAAAACAATTATTTAAAACCTTAAGCATAAACAAGTATTAATAATAATTCGAGCAGCTAAAATTAACTAACAATTTATCTAAGGCGGACGCAGCCCATCGGATCATCGCATTCAGGAATTCACCTAATTCAATTTTTCTAGCCAATCTGTTCATAGTTTGTTCAAGAATGGGGAAATTGAGGCGAAATCTTCGCATTCGGGTATGAGCTTTCCCTTAAACTTGATACAGGATTCTGCGCATAGGGGTCCCTCGAACCACGCACCGAACATCTTCTTGCATTGCGCGCAGTTCTCTATGCAAATTCCTACGGAATCGTAGCCGGTGGCTGTGGAAAAACACAAATAAATAAGATCCAATTAAAAATATGACATACTAGCTGTGCCCCGCGGCGTTACCCACGTGTTTATAAGGGATATTTTCCCGCAGAGAAACGTAGCTTATGTGTTAATCCTGGGTGTCAGCTAACTCCATACGAAATTTTATGGTAATCGCTCCAGCCGTTTAGACGTGAAGAAGTAGCAAACACACACACACTTTCACTTTTATAATATTAGTGTGATTATTATCACAGACTAGACGGGATTGGGAAATAAGAGAGCTCGTAAGGAGATAAATATATAATACTAGTGGCCCGTCCTCGCTTCGCTTCGGTGTAGAGCTGTAGTGTAAACTAAAATGACTCATAGACTGAATTAAAAAAAAATGAAAATGGTATATTTGCCTTTTCCAAACTTCTATTGACATCACGTCACTCAATTGTTTTGCCTTCCCGGAACTTCTCCACTAACAATTGAAATTTATGGTATGGTATTAAAGTTTAAATTGACTTTTAAGTATTATTACGAATCGTTTGTATGGGAGTATAGAAAAGTGTTGTTTTTGGACTTTTTCAGGCATTTTTTTTTCATTTTTCTCTGCGTAAGAACCATCCTCGTACTTCAAGGAATATTCTAAAAGAAGAATTATCGAAATCGGTTCAGCTGTTTAGCTCTAGATTTGTGCTTAGCAACACATTCAGCGATTCATTTTTATATTATAGATGATATAGGAAATTTACAAAATCCAGCAAGCCAACAGAAGAAACAGCAACAGAAGCGGCAGAGGACAAATCAGAAACAAATAAAGACATATAAACATAGACATAAAAAGAGTAGTACATCATAATAAGTAAGTATGTAAAAAAACATTTCTAAATGAAACTGGGGTATTAAAAAAAGTAAAATTTATCTAAAATGGACAAGACAAGTGGTATGAGCATTTTCGGATTTTGTAAAAGTAAAAATTGTGCTTACAGTAAAGGGGAGGGAAATGTGAGAATCCAAAATTGTTAATTATACTCCCAGACACATCTATCTGTCCACTTAGTGTTATAAGTTTTAACAGTTTGTAGCATAAATAATATGTTTATGGTTAAACAATATTAAAAATAAAACACGAAAAGATATCATATAAATCAGCTTCAAAATTGCGTAAGTAATAACTTTTTGTTCTATGTAATATTTATTGAAGTTATACTTCTTTAGGCGCGTTATGAAAAAATGATGAGTGAAATTTTAAGATGCGCGCGCATCACTGTAACACAAAATTTTAACAGCATGAAGTTGGTCAACTTCATGCTGTTACTTTTGTGTTTACCGCACATTAAGAAAATCTACCAACAAAATAGAAATAGAATCTCTATTTAGTGTGGGTGCTAACGACTGCATTGTGAAGGCCTATCAAAAGTATTTATTAATCTGGAACAACGGAACCAAAGCGCGATTCAGGAGACTACAGCGCCATCTCTTGACCATTGGTGTAGTAGAACCAAAAACCACATCTTTATTTTTTGTGATAAAGTAACAGTTATAGGTATTCATATTTGTAATATCAAAAGTATTTATTAATCTGGAACAACGAAACCAAAGCGCGATTCAGGAGACTACAGCGCCATCTCTTGACCATTGGTGTAGTAGAACCAAAAACCACATCTTTATTTTTTGTAATAAAGTAACAGTTATAGGTACCTATTCAGATTTATAATATTTATCCACATGTTTCTAGTTTGTATATTCGGATTACGTGTTTGAGTTTCATACATGTGCAAATCACATATGTTCTAATAAATTATATTCAGTAGCGATTTTAATTGAATATTTTGATTATTTATTTATTTTTTCAAATTAAAACTGAACTTTATTGACTGTGTCCTTTTCCAGACTTTTTATTAATTTATTGTAATTAATTAATCAATCAAATCAATCAATTAAAAACTAATTTTAAACGATGCCAAAGAAGGATAATTTCTCACGCGCCTACATAAGTACACGCACCCATTTTTTTTATTTAGGGACCGTCAAAACTAATATGTGGGCCTATAGATGTGTCTTAAAGTGTAGATCACATATAACGATATTAAAAAGTATTGTATATGGGTACCACGCCTGAAATAAATACATTATTATTATTAAAAATCTATATTATCAAACTTTATCTTAATAGAGCCATCTAGACTGAAACGATCCGGGAGTCGAACCTCCGTCTGATATGTGAGGTTCGTTTTACATGACTTTATAGGTATGCTATAGCTCCTTCTTTCTTTGCGGGATTGGCCAGTTATTACAGTGGTGGGTACATTATAACAAGCTCGCCTTAATTTAGTACCGAACCCACTTGAAAGGTCATCTAGAATATATTTTGGAAAAAAAGCAGTATTCCTTGGAGGAACTCCATAGCGCTGTGGTTAAGGCGTCTGATCTGCGACCGTGGAAAGCAAATTTTGCAATAGCCAATCACAGGATGGGTTTCTGATAGGAGGAGGACGAAGGTACTTTAAAGTCGTTGGTCCCAGCACTCCCAGCTGCATCTGCAGTCATTAGCACCTACCATTCCGCACTGGGCCCGCGCGGTGGATCATGGCCCGTGGTCTGTGCCTCAACCGTGAGTAGGTTATTGTGGTTGGCTTGTTGTAGAAATTCCCAAACACCCCCATGCAATGTGCCACTGGTAGGGATACCATAACAATGATTTCTGGACAACTACTATAGTTCTACACTATGTAGAGCTTGTGCTATGCTATCTAATTTAATAACATGGGTATATGTAGGTAAATATTTCATCATGGATGAAATGATCCATGATGAAACATTTTTTCTCAGCACAAAAATAATAAAAATGCTATTACCGGAATTCGAACCCTTGCAGTTGCACCAACTGCCGCGCCACTATTAGTTATTAAGTATTTTGAAGATAATACGGACAAGAGATATACCTATAGATCCTATGTCCTTTATCATGGGACCATATGACGCGATATCGCGAAGATTTGCACTGTCGCAATGTCTGGCAAGCAATTTGTTCAATCGCGAATATATAACGCGACAAAGGTTATATACTTCTTGCGCTTTAATGACAGCGAGACGAAGAGCGGTCTGCACATATGTAAGTACATATTTGAATTTAGTATTGACTTATAGAATTCATAGCAATTATGAATAGGAACTACTTTGGAACTAAATACTCGATTTTCGCCGCTCGACAACTCGTTTCTCGCTCTACTCGCTTATCATTTTACTCGCTTCTCGCTGATCATCGTCGGAAGGACAAAATATGCCTTACTAAACAAACTAACGCTCCAACTACGGGAGCTTTTCCTATGGGTATATTCTTGAAATTCCATCAAATTGCATCGACCGATAAAAACTTCCGTGTTAGTGAAGTGCCCACGTGCAAGTTAAACACAGAATGGAAAAAGTCATAAGGTGCCGTAGACAAGCGGCTATCGTTCTATTTGAGCTCCAACGCTAACTCGAAAGTTCAAGAATAAGTAAAAAACCAAGTCTTAATTAACCAAACTTAATTCATGACACTTGTCTAAGTACAAAGCGTTATTTCCATTCAGTGTTTGAAATAACGCTAAGAAAAAAGTTGCAAGTGTTAAGTTGATAGTCTTTTGTGGTCTAGGCTTTAAAAACCGTTGTGTTTTATTTATTTGAATATTAAAAAGGGGGTCATATTTACTTGCGATTTGAATAGATCGATATTGTATGTATCAGCGAGCAGAGCAAGTGAAAATAAATTTCACAACTGGTTAGGTTGTTCACAATAAAAAGGTACAGGGCCAACGAAATATCTTCCATATATCTTGAGGTACATAACCTTGCCAGTTCGTTCGCTGGTGGAATGGTCAGCGGGGAATTAGATTGTGCAATTCTAAAGGAGATTCTCCGAAATGCCTCCGATGAAATACCAATGACTAGCAACTTTTTGGCGATTTTCAACAATATGAAGGTTAATTAATTTAATTGAATCAATGACATTGTTGAAGACGAGTTGTAAAGCTCGCTTTTCAATAGACATCGACCTGCCGAGCCAGAACTTAGCAAACCTGTCCTAATGTGCGAGCTGTAGGTATCCATGTACCTACTTACGACCAAACATGCCCTTAATATAGCGACATGAACTCCACTCTTAGCACGAACAAAATCGAATTCGTTGCGTTTGCGATTACGTTTGTCAATATTAGTTAAATTTTGTATGGAAATTTAAACATCAGCGCCACAACGGACGTAACGAAAACTAAAAATCAATACACGTTTGACGTTTATTTAGATCAAATTTAACTATTAGAATTCGATAATGGTTCGTGCTAAGGGTACTATAGGGATTTTAAAGTGAAACTTTTATTACAACGCTGCAAATATTTTCGTTCATCTTTTGCTAAAGATGAAGATGAGCATGCCGCATTATATTATTAATTGTTATTAAAATTTTGAGGCTTTATTAACAAGTGTCAGTGGTTCAGAGTACAGAACACAGAAAGAGGTTAGAAGGTCCTTGTGAGCGGGGCAGGCGCGCGACAGTAATGTGCGAGCAAATCGAGCCTTTACCGCCGTTTTAGCGCAACCGACAAAAACCAAATTTTAGAGGAGAAGGTTTTTATTAAATATTTTTACACAGAAGTGTGTTAGTAATTTTTATTTTTACATACAATAATATTTTTTAGACATTTACATATATAATTGAAGAAGAAACAAAAATAATAAGTATTTATGCTATTTATGGCGCTTACATTATTTTTGCTGTCATAATCTAAGGCTATTTTGGCGTTTACGATAAAAATGTCTATTAAAATTACTATGTTCTAAAAACTATATTCGATTTTAATTAATACTAATAGGTATTTTATAAGGTTCTTAAATGAAATTGCCATATTATAATTGAAAAATATTTTTTCATATTAAACATTTGGAATAATGAGATCTAGAAAATAAAATAAAAGTAAAAGATTTTTAATTCTCCTTATCCGAATCATCTTCGTCCGTTTCATCTAACGCATCACGTATG